CCCCCCTCCCATGCCGGCCCCCCCCCCCCCCCGCCACTCTCAAATCGCCCTCTCGAACGGCAGTGCGCATGCGCCCACTCGGCTCTGACGCCTTTCCTGTCCCTCCTTAAGCGGAGGCCAGGCTCTAGAAGGCTTTTGCTGCTACTGCGCATGCTCAGTGTTCTTTGCCGCTCCCAAGATGGCGCTGCGGTAGTGACGGGTGGCGGAAGGAGGTGTCTGCAGTGGGACCGGATAGCGGAGCGCGGCTTCGGCGCCCCGCGGCAGGATGATCCCCACTGAGGAGGTGTCGGCCCGCAGGAGGGAGATCGAGGACAAGCTCAAACAGGTGGGGCTGGGCAGGGCTGGGGACCAGCTGCGGGCCTGGCTTGGTCCTGGGCCCGGGCCCGCCCCCGCAGGCCTAGCGCATTGACTAGGAGATGGGGCTGGGAGCTGGTGTGGAGGTCCCCACCGGGCCTGGGGGAGTCCCTGGGGCCTTCTAAGGGCATGGTCACTCCGCTCTGGGCCTGGAAACATCCCTAGTTCCCCTTCAGAGCCTAGGGCCCTGATTTTCAGTGTCAAGGGGTATCTCTGCCCCCAGTTCGGGCCTGCGGCCCTCTTAGGGCCTGGTAGCTTCTGGGGGGCTCTCCAGGCTCTGAGGTACACCTGTGAGGCCAGACTGCTGTTCCTGAGCTACCTCTGGCCTTCCGTGACTTGAAAACAGTCCTTGGTGGGTGCTTTGCATTGGCCACTTGAGTTTGCAGCTGTGCATGGGATTTGGATGGTGCTAGTGAAGTATCTGTGTTGTGCTATGATAGGGAAATGTGTGGTATGAGTCAGTATGCCTCTAGTAAAGGTGTTAATTTTACGTTGTGCTGTGATTTTAGTGTACTAAGGCTTGTGGCCTTGGAATATTGAAGGGAAACAAGTAATCCATAAAAACCTCGCTCAGTACATTGTGTTTCTCTCCTTGGTTCAAGTGCCCTGATTTTTATTAAGAGGTCGCATATTAAAATACGCTCTCAGCATCAGACCAAACATGATTTGCTGCAGTGTTTACCAGGACTTGTAAAAGCCGACATGTAATGCTTAGTGACTTAAATGATTAGTGTTCAAAATTGAAGACCCTTTTTTCATCCTACTGACAGGAAGAAGAAACTCTGTCCTTTATCAAAGAGAGCCTTGAGAAGAGTGACCAGCTTACAAAGAACATGGTGAGGAAGTCCTTGAAGGTCAGCCCTAATCCTGGACCTGGCTTTACTTTTTCTTAGAAGAATCTGTTTTCAAGGCTGTCATTGTGTCCATCTGAGGAATACAGTATAATAAACCACTTGCTCTGCATCTGTGTTTTACACTTCAGTGGCTGTGCAAATGAATATTTCAATGCTAAGCTTCTCTCCTGGTGAGATGAGGACTCAAATGAGCTGTTGGTCTCGTCTCTTTACAATCTGCTCCCTTGGGAAGAGGTATTAATAGACCCCACATTAGGTTGTACAACAGCATCATGTTGTTGCTTCATAAAGTCAAGTCTCCTTTGCAGTTTATTTTGAGAATCTTCTGTTTAAGAGATGGAAAGTAATTATTGTGCTCTAATTACTCATAAGCCCTCAGCTAGTATACTGTGTCCAGTTTCGGGCTCAGAGTTTCAAGAAAGTCATAAAGACACCACCAGAGAAGTGTGGAAAACGTAGGAGCAAATCTTCAAATAATTACATCTTGGTCTAGAAAAGATGACATTGGGGCCCCTTTTATGAGCTTACTAAGCTTTTCCAGCTTTCAGAAGTGATATCACAGTCCCTTGTAAAAAACAAATGTCTATGATGGGAAAGAAGGTTCGTGCACAGTGGTCCTGTGCCTATGTTATGCATCTCATGCTTGGGTCTTAGTGGTATGGATCACACTGGCTGCCAGTTTATACTTTTGTTGCTCTCTTTACCTGGGGCACCTCCAGGCAGTTCCTGTATATTTGTTTCCTGCTGTCAAATTATTAAATTATCAAATTATTTTCATGTGTCACAAACATTTAATTCAAGATTAGCCCATCTCTGTATGGCAGGTGATCTGTTTTGTAATTATTAATAGATGTTGGAACACAAAGAGATTAAACAGTCCACCTAAGGAGCCATGGCAAATTAGTAGGAGAAACCAAAAAGAGAAGCTGGGCCCTGAAAGTACCTTATTGCCCTGCTCTAACTACTGCCCTACTGTATGGATCCAGGTGGAAGGATGTCCTCAGCTCTGTTTCTCTCTTGGCATGTAGGTTTCTATCCTCTCCTCCTTTGAAAGTCGTTTGATGAAGCTGGAGAACTCAATCATCCCTGTCCATAAACAGACAGAGAACTTGCAGCGCTTGCAAGAGAATGTGGAGAAAACCCTGTCCTGCTTAGATCACGTCATCAGTTACTACCATGTGGCTAAGGACACAGAGAAGATCATAAAGGAAGGGTGAGTTGAGTAACTAGGTCTTGCTGGTGAGCTTCATCTAATTGAACTTTTGGGTTAGAGGTAGGGGAGCTGACTCCCTACACTCATCATGCTCTTTGTACCCTTCCCACACTCTTTCCCCCCGTCAGTCCACAGTAAAGCTGCCTAACTTGATCTTCAGCAGTCCGCAGAGGGTAAAGTCTGCTCAGAATCTGCACTAGTGTCTCTGCCAGGTTCTGCACAGATGCTGCCATATGAAGCTCATGCACATCAGTGGCTTCTCGTCTTTCCTCTGTCCTCTTACCAAAGGTTCTTCCTGCCCTGTTGAGGTTGCTGTGTCCAGGATGAATCAGAACTGTTCTGGAGCCTGCTTTCAAGCTCCAGGAAGGTGTTTTGGTGGCCCTTCTCTGGGGTGGGATGTGCAGCTTCCTCTACCTTCCCATAAGGGCCTGACTGGGAGAGGAAGGCAAAGCTGAGAGCTGTGTGCTGCTCAATTATCAGTACTTCTGCACCTGCTGCGTGGACTGGGTGTTCTGCTGTGGCACTGAGCAGAGGCAAAAGGGAATTCCATGATCCCCTAGTCAAAGAAAAGGGCTTTGAAATTTTCCGTGTTAATTTTATCCTGAGTTTGGCCTGGTGCTTTCTTGATATTTTCTTTCTTTGCTTCTTGGGGTACTGCTTTTTATTTCTGGTTTTATTTTCAGCCCCACTGGGAGGCTGGAGGAATACTTGAATTGCATGGACAAAATCCAGAAGGCGGTTGAATACTTCCAGGACAACAATCCGGACAGCCCAGAGCTGAACCGTGTGGTAGGTCGTGTGTCTGGAGCCTGGCATGGATGAGAGGCACAGATGTAGCCCTGCTGCTTGCCCTTTTGCTGTGAGAAGTTGACGGGCTTGCTGTCTGGTGAAGGTGTTTGGACATGGCTGAAGTGGTTGCTTTGGCTTCTGCTTAAGCCGGCACTCATTTCTGCTTGTGATGTTTTGCTGTCTTTATGCTTTGCATCATTAGGGCTTCTGGAAGCAAATGTGGTGGAGTTGATTGAACCTCTGCCTGAGTAGCTTTTGTCAGTCCTTCAACTGCTTGAGCAGAATGGGAGATCTGTTTAAATCCCACTTGAAGACTGAGCAACTCCCAAGCATTTTTTTTATTTAATTCACTTTAAAAGTCTCTTTGTTGCAGGCGTTGTTGGAGTTTGAAGCATGCAGTACTTGGCAGTGGTTAGAAATGCTGCAGAAAGTACATTTTTATGGAGAAATAGTTGTGAGTGACTGATTACAGAAGCCCTGTGGTTCTTCTGTCCTTCTGTTGTTTTGTGCCAGAAATCCCTCTTTGAGAGGGGCAAGGAGTCCCTGGAATCAGAGTTCCGCAGCTTGATGACACGGCACACCAAGCCGGTCCCACCTGTCCTCATCCTGGACCTGATCAGCGGGGATGATGAAATGGAGACGCAGGAGGAGATGTCTCTGGAGCACCTCCCGGAGAGTGTGCTGCATGATATAATCCGTATTTCTGGCTGGCTGGTGGAAAATGGCAGGAATCAAGGTTGGTAGTGCTGTGTGGTGTTCCCTTGTAGCTCGGTATCAGGTGAGTGCTCTCCAGTTACTTACCACATGTGGTTTAGAGCGAAAGGAGGGTTTTGAGGGTTGTGTGTAGCACTTCACAGCTTGGCTTGTAGATCACACATCTTCAGGCATGAAGCCTCTGCTCAGGTGCTGCTGTGGCTAATGAGCTATGGGTCATGCTGCTGTTGGTAGCCAGTAGCAGTAGCAGATCTTGTGACTGCCTTAGTTGGTACCTTTTAGGTGAGTATTTCAGTCTCCTTTCAGTTGCATTCTTAAGGTCCTGCTTTTTTTACAGCATCTGTAATAAGACTGAAGTGTGGTCTGTCAGTTCAAGAGAATGATGTGCCTGTGGATATTATGAGAGCAAAAGCTGTGTAAATAAAGCACAAATTATCTTAATGCATAGTCTGTCCTATAGCAGAAATCCATTTAAATGGCATCTGTAGTGCCTTCTGGTGGAGCTGGAACTATCTAGTGCTCAGGTTTTATAAACGTGCAAGACACTTGTCACTTATTTCTGTTTGGGAACTACTTATGAACGGAACTTTTTCTATTAAATGTGACCAAGGGTGGGGAAAACTTCCTTTGGTTAGTACATGTCTCTTTCCTGTTCTGCAGCATCAAAATCTACCTGCAGCTTTATACTCCTTTTATTGATGTTTTCCTTGGGAATGTATGTCTTTGTAGACTTCTTACAGGAAACCTGTACTTTCACATACATACAGCTACTAGAATCACCCCCCACCTCAATGATTTCTTTCTGAGTGGGGATTACTGTGCTTACTAAGTATGATGAACATCTTTAAAAGCTCCTTAAGAATTTTTCCATGATCAGATGAGGCAACTCGAGCATATATAACATATTCCATTAGTCAGTTCATATTCTGCTTTCAATTGATGAACAGCTCATTCAGTTCCTGAGAGCTGGGAATCCTGAGAAGTGTGTAAAGTCTCTCATGCTAGAAACTGAGCACTTGAATCGACATTGTCTTGCACAAGTGTCTCCCATCAGTTCCACAGCTGATGTGCTCTTCGTAATGGAGCACAGACCTAATTTTGTGTGTGATGGGAGAACTGGGATGAGTACTGCAGGGGAAGGAAAAAGTTGTTTTTGAAGAAAACAGGAGAGACTCTGGGAGGGAACAACATTTACTTGGAGTCCCACATCAATGCTAGTAAGACTCCTTAGGGGAACAGAGTGTATCAGGAAAGGTTTGTTTTGCCATATAGTGTTCCCTGTTTGCTTATAACCTTGTTTCTACCTTGTCTCCTTAGATTTCATGACTGTTTATTTCCAAATCCGCTCTGTCCAGCTTGACCGCTCCATCAAGGGGCTGAAGGACCATTTCCGTAAGAACAGTTCCTTCACGGGGGTGCCCTATTCCCCTGCCATTCAGAACAAAAGAAAGGACACCCCCACCAAAAAGCCAATCAAGAGACCGGGTAAGTCCCTGAAGGAGGGAACCACTGTCCTGTGTATCCTCTTGCCTGGGTATCAAATGCGTATCTGCAGGCCTTTTCACTGCTGAGGTAGCCTCTCTGTCTAAAATGTGCTTTTAGTACAGGAGCAGGGGTGAGATTTTTGGAGATAAGCACCTCTTCTCTGCCCTCGATTCAGCATTGAGATTACAGATGTTTTCTGTCCCTGTCAAGTCATCAGGTCTGTTCTCTGGGTGATTTAAAGGGAGGAAAGGGGGTCCTGTATGCAGGGAGAGAAAAGGCCATTGCCTTAAAGATAAGTAAAAAAAGATCTGAAAGTGCTATAAATGGATATGATCTGACAACACCTGTCCTCAGCCTTGGAATATGGACTGTGCCATAGCAAAATAGGAATCTTAGATCTGATAAAACACATCACTTTAATCATTAGTTATGAATAAATTCTTATTGTGCTAGGAAACCAAGAACTTGTTAAGAGTTGAGATGGGAACTAGGTCGGTGCCTACAGAAATGAGATCCAAAGTTGTCTGAATTTTGGAAGGGCTGTTAAAGCTTTTCCCTCAGCCTGTCTTTGGAAGAGCTATGAATGTGGCTGTTGGGTTATTTCACCTCTCCTCATAAAGGAGTTTTGCTGCATTTTCCGCTTCTGGTGCGGCTGGTCCCTCCAGCATACCAGAGTGCAGAGCTGGAGTTCCCGTCCCTGCAACGTGTCCTCTAATGGGAGCACGGCTAGGAGGAGGGCCAGCAAAAGCTAGCACTTGCCTTCCAAAGCATCACAGTGATACTGTCCATCTGTGTGTCACAGGACCCTGTTGTTTCCTCTGTAATAGGGCTGAAAGTCAGAAAAGTTCATATTTCTGTGAGTTTACCTGGCCAATACTCTCCCACCCTAATATATTTTCCCTGTGTTGTCCAAATACTCTTACTGGCTTCAGGAAAATAATAAGAAATGTGGGTTGGGCCTGGGGTTAGATGGGATGGGGAAAGGGAGGAAAAGAAATACCCATTTTAATTGTGTTGTGTTTATTTTTATAATCCTGATGTGAATGCAGTCCTCATCCCAGGTAATGTGTGTCTATGTGTGTGTGTGCTGGCCCTGGTGCTCACTCTCTTCACTTCTGTGTGTGGAGGGGCTTTGCTGGGCCTCTTCTTGCTAAAGCAGAGGGTGTGCCTGGGATATTTAGGGAGGGAGGGCTGCCTGTGGAAGACTATGACATCCAGAAAACACCTCTCTGGTCTTTTAAAATCAAACTGTGCCATTGTTGATGTGCCGTGGACCTGTGCCTGAAAGCTGATGTGCAAGTTGCAGTTGGTGAATGCAGTCGATCTGCGAATTTCAGTAGATTTTGCCCTGTCACCGTAGAACCACCTGACAGGGGGATGTCTCACCCCACACTTGGCTTTCCTTCTGGTGTTTGGTGGGTAGTTATTTGCATAACAATTTGCCCTCAGTGTTGGGAGACCTGTAGAGGACAATATCCTCCTGCTAAGGAGACCTAGCTGTGCTGAAGATGGCAGAAAAACAGTGTTCAAAATTGCCCCTAACAGGATGGCAGTCATTTATGTTCAGCTCCTGAACAGTGGCTCCTGCCCAACAGCATGATTATGATAGGTAAAAGTTATTTTTGTGGTTCAGCGGCTCTCTACTGGAAAGGTGCTGGATGGGGATCTGTAGTTGAGCCATGAGGAACTCAAGGTTGTGAATGCTTCGAATTTGGTCCACAGTTTTCAGTTATCACCTGATACTGAAAAGATCCCTGGGTTTTGATTGCTGTGTAGTCAGCACGTCCAGCGAATGCTTCTGAGCAGCCTGTCAAATGGTGACATCTCACCTATGCTCTAGGTAAATAGAGATGGAGGAGACTTTTTTTAATGGTTCAGTTGGAAAAATATCACAGGATTTTTTAAAATGAATCTCAGATCTTGGATGCTCACATAGAGAGTACAGAAAGGAGAGAAAAAGCATTTGTTCCCTACAAACAGGGCTTTTCCAAAATAGATGCACTTGAGCATCCAAAATTACTTGTCATGATGAATCCCTCAGCTGTGGATTTGCCGGGAGATTTTCACATCTTTTTGCCCAGTTTAATCAGAGTTTGTGAGACAGGCCAGGTAGAAAGCACAAAGCACAGTCTGAATGCACTTACAGAGCTAACAGTGTATGAAGTAAAGAGCATTTCAAGAGATCTACAGGGGTATTGTTAATCTCAAGAAAAAATAGTAGCTAATTTGTCTGCAGTCTTCCGTGAACAAGGACAGAGAACCAGACTGTAGCTCTTGAAGGACAGGGGTGGTTAAACCTCATACCAGCCATCTCTTATGGGTACTAAATTGTACTCAAGTGAAATTGAAAACAGAGGAAAAAAAAAAGGTAGTCTTTGAGCAGAGATTCACCATTTTTTATGCAGTTCTATCAGCTTTCAAGGACAGGTCGTGAGGTGGAGGTCTTACACCCTCTTTGCACTGGCACAGTGGCCCTCTTCACAGCAATATTCACCTGGTGGCATTTGATTCCTCTGGTTTTAGCCTTTGTTCAATTATGAACAAAAGGGGTTTTTTTTCCCTGTGGTATTGCTTCAGTAGGTAAAGTCAAGTTTTGCCAATTTGGATTTCAGGCAAGAGGGTTTTCTTGTGGTTCCCACAAGTGAGTTGATTTCCTTAAGGAAGAATATCCCAGTGCACACCCCAATGCACACTTTAACCTGTTGCAAGGGATAAATAACAAACTAAATCTGATATGCTTTAGCTTGTTTACCTACAAAGCGAAACGCAAGAGAGGCTACCACTGAAGGGAAGGTGAGATATTAGGACAGGGTAACAAGGCAGAGACACCCCCCATTCTCCCGTAGGTGCTGGGTTGGATTCATGGATATCCATGTGTTGTTTCAAAGGCATTAATCTCTGTTTTATTTGTTGGTGTACCCTGTACTGCCTCCTGTTGTTACAGCATGCAATTGAAAATGCGACTGCTGGAGATGCTTCTAAAGCAGACTTGTCTCCTCTTAAATGAAACTTGCCAAGTCAAGTTGAACAGATGAAGCAATCTGTGGGCTTTTTTTTTTTTTAGTAGTTTGCTGTTTGAAATGTCAGCAGTCTGTCTTGGAGGGCAAGTGTATTCAGATTCCCAAATCGTCCTGCTGCAAACTTGTGCATGTAAACCATCACCTCTTTGTGGTGCCTGTAAGCCCAGTTCCCTTTATTTTTTTTTGCCTTTAGAGCTGCAGGTAGCTCGGAAGCTCTGCATTGCCAGTGAAGGATAGGGCCAGGAGATGCTGGTAGAGGCACCCAGCCTGGCTGCCTGCAAGCAAAAGCCGGAGAGCTTTGGGTAGTTTTGTACAGACTCCTGCAGCTGGTGCCTAAGAAAAAAGGATTCATTGCCCTTCTGCTTCATTAGAAAACCGCCTAATGGAGGAGAGAAACAGGAGAAGAATGCACAATTGGAAAACTGTGCCTCATGTATACCCAAAAGCCACTTTATTTAACATTTGGTCCACAGGAGAAAAAGTTTCAGGTGTCATTGGTGGGTTTTTAGGGCTCTTTTCATGCTGTAGGGGAGCCCTTTTCCAGTTTACTTGCTGCTTCAGTTTACCTAGTGGTGAGGTGCTACCTGAAGGCAGGCTGTGGAGTCTTTATGTGGCAGAATAAAGAGCCTGTTCCTGCTTCCCATGTTGATCACTGCCTAACTTGAGTGCAATGTTTTCATTAGTAGTTGAAATGCCATCCCACTTGGTTTGCGAGCTACCTAATAGGGGAAAACAATTGCAGAACAAAAGCATTTGGCTTCCACTAGAATCTGTTAAAACCTAGTTACAATGCTAAGTCAGAGGGATACAGCAGCACTGAAGTGATGACCATGAACACTGAATGCTGGTGTGTGTCAGTGTAAACACAGGTAGTTGTGGTAATGCAAATAAAATGCAGCAGGGGCATTTCAGCTCTCATCTGAGAAGAAACTGTCAGGGGTGGGCTGTGGAGAAGCGCACTGTGTACCTGTACAGTGAGATCCTATTGACAGCAGCAGCAGTTGTGCTCTCTGCTTGGTTTTCACACCAATTTACCCTGTTTCTTTTTTCCCTCCCCTTGGATGCTTGAAAGCAAGTGGGAATGGTGAAAGAAGTGGTAGAAGAACAATACCTGGGCTGAGCTGTGGGGCCATGGTAACAACAGTAAGAAATTGCTCAGTGAATATCTCTAGAGCTTGCTACAGCCCTCCTTGCTCAGAGGAACTTTCTGTTGTGCCCAGGCTTTTAAGGTTTCTGCAAGTAGCTAAGAATAAAGTGGAAGTGTTAGGTGTGAAGAGCTTGGATGAGGAAGCTTGGAAGAAGTGGCATAGCCCTCTCATTTGATCATATGGTGGAAGCTAGGAGCAAATGCATCAGTGCAGCAAGGGTGTAAGTCTTCCCACTTTCCTGGTCTGGGTCTAGAGGGGAGAAGTTTCCTGCTAGAAGAATGTGTTTTATGGATTTATTTTTTTTTACTGAGTGGTTGAGAACACTCTGAACTGATAGAAGAAAAATGTTGCCAGTGAGGCATTACACTTTAGGAACCACCTTCTGTTACTTAGTAAGTGTACCAGGTTGAGGCAGCTTGGTAGTTCAGTAAGAACTTCTCTCTTCTGTTCTCCCCTGTTACAGATGTGCTGCCTGGGTAATTTTAAAGTTTCCTTTAGCTCTTTGCTCTTTGTGGGACAAAGCTGTCCTGCACTCCAGGACCCACTGCAGCAGTGTGTATTTGGGCTTTCCTCAGGATAGTGGTCCTCAACATTTGGGCAGCCAACACTCATTCCCAGGCTGCACTATGGCTTACAGTTACTGGTGGAAGTAGGGATTTTATGCATGTTTGAAGTATTTATTGCTTTAAAGCAGAAGAACAATTCTTAATTTTGGCACAGCATTTTTATTTCTTGGATGCTTCTTCATTTACTCTGCCCAGTTCTGTTTTATCTGAGTCTCCTATAGAAACTCCTTCTGCCTTCCCAAAATTTTTTATTCCCTGTTGTGCCAGCAACAGTGAAGCTCTGCTGTGAGAGGGTGTTCATGTGCTTGTGATAATTGTAGCTTGTTGCATGACGACTAACCTTTCAATGTGGAAACAGAGTTCAGTCTTCAGTTGTCACATTAATGCTTTGTGCTTTCTAGCTGTATATCCAGCATTGGCTTTTGTTCAGCTCTGCCTGTTTTTTGTGTGTGTTAAGTATAAATCTTTTAACCCAGTGTTATTTTTTTTCCATGGTTTTAATTGATTTGCAGTTCCTTAGAAGAGAAGTGTCTTGGGGATTAGGGTGACTTAATGTGAGTTAGACATGGGTGGGCAGCATCCATTATTCTATGATTCCTGTGATGGGAAATGCTGCTGCAAGTGCTCTCTAGAGCCCAGAGGTTGTCAGCCTTTTATCACTTCCTGTAATGCCAGAGATCATGCCTTGTCTTGGCTGTGGGGCTCCTGGTGGGTCTAGGCTGAGCATGCTCAGAAAATACCCCTTGGAAAGGCATCTCTTTCTGCAGCTCTAACCACGTGGCTGTGGTTGTGGCTCTGGGGAGCAGGCAATGTGTTGCTGGACAGGAATTGTCTGAACTGCAAAGCCCTGCTTCCAGAGCTGAGGAAAAGCAAAAAAACCTGATATACTTGGATGCAGAGTACCAGCTTAAATAAACTCATTACAGGGAAGAGTGCTTCGTTGCTTCCCTTTTCTCACCTAGCCATACCACCTCACCAAACTGATATGAGCACTCCCTGATTCTGTAACCCTGACTGAAATTCATGCCCTTGTCCTCAAAGCAGGAAAACAGCCTGGAAAGGCCATTGTATCTGCACACTTGGACATGAGTTTGGGGTTCATGTTCCTGTACTGAGCATGCTCATTGGTGCCCAGCATCCTCTTGCTGGGCCCAGGTGACTTGCTGGTGAAGGGCTGGTGTTCTGGGTTTGTTTTCTTTCACTCATTTTCTAGGTCTTCTTGTCTCTTCTCTCTGGCTCTGGTGACAGGCACGATCCGTAAGGCTCAGAACCTTCTGAAACAGTACTCTCAGCATGGTCTAGATGGGAAAAAGGGGGCCTCTAACCTCATTCCTATGGAAGGTAATCACAGCTCTAGCTACTTCACCCTTGTCTTTCTCTGTGTATCACCTTGCTTTTCCAGGTGGGACTTCCATTAGCCTAGAGCTTGGTGGACAGCATTGGGCAGGTACAGCTATCCTTGGGGAACCAAGGAGATGGTGGAGGGCCAAATTAGCTTTCTGAATTTGGTGCTTGAATTTCAAAGTCTCTGATACATGAGTACAGATGGAGAGGAACGTTACCTTAGAGCAGTTGACCCACCACAGCCACCTGGCTAATGGAAGCTCTGCTCTGATGACATTTGCTTGTGGTGTTTCTGTTCTCTTTTCTTTTTGCCTGGACTTTGAGACATTCAGTTTCCTGGTGACCTTTCCAAACCTGATGCTGAAGTGTCAGACCACAGCTAGCTCAGTACGTTGTGCCTGTACATCATCTCTGTGGAGACCTACCTAAATGGTTGTCTTCTGTATTCTGGTCTCCTCTGCTTATAGAGGTTGCACCAAATAAAGGAGAAAAGGTCACTTGCTTCAAAACATCTGTAAGACCTTTCTACCTCCTGCTATGTATGCATCTAAAGTAGATCTCTTCAGCACCTGCACTGTAGCCTGCTGAATCCCAGGTGGTCACTAACATCGCTCATTTGAGGGAAAAAGAATTCGCAGTGCTGAGCAGGAGATGGGCTTTAAGATTTAAAATTTGTACTTGTGGGTACAAGAAGTTCATTTAGAACTTGTGGCAGGAGGTTCAAGGGACTCCTGTGGCACAACAAATGGCTTAACTCACACTTCTCATCAGGTTTCAAAGGGTTGCTACTGCTACATAGCCCAACAAAGGGATTTGATCAGGTAGCATTCCTGGGACTGTGTAGGAAAGAAAGTGCCCATCAGATCAAATAAGCCAAGCTTGAAGTGGCTTCCAGCCAGTGTGAGCATCCATGCTGTAACCACCCTGGATAAATTGCGCCTTCTGTTTGTGCCGGCTGACATCTCACTAGGTCATGAGCATGATTTACGAGTTAAACACCTTTCCGATACCCTGAGCGACAAGCATGGGCCGGCTGCTGGTAAGTACCATGTTGTCACTTCATAACGAGCTGGCTAACATCCCTTCTTTTCAGCATGTTTCACAGTAGTTTTGTAGGTAGTGGCTGTTCATCTATGTGGGCAGTCCTGGAGCATGGGCCTTCTCTGGCTAAGAAGCTCTGGCTCTTCTCAGTAGAATTCACTCCTACTAATCACACATCCCCCAGGCCCTCAAACAGGGAACCCCAGCTTAGTCCAACCAAAGACTGGTGGCCATCATGCTGAGGGGTGCTTTCCTGTGTGTAGCTACTGGCTTGTTCAGTGCTAAAGTGAGGCAAACAGGAAAGGGATCACATGTGGCATGCAATACCATGGGCCAGTCCACCGTAGACTGTCTGTCAAACCACATCATGTCTGTGTGTCCCCTGCTGACCATAACTTTCAAAAAATCAACCTGAGGGACCTGTCAGTGTA